CCTTTCCCCAAAAGCAGGTGTGCGCAGAGACAGGATTTGGGGGGGGTCAGGGAAGCCTGGAGGACTGGTCCATCTGTATTCTACAGCCTGGGCCCCTGGCAGACGAAGGCATTGATGAGTTTCACCCATGAGCTTCTCCAGCGAACAGACGGCAGCTATCCGCCGCCTTCTGTTCACCACATCCTGAAATCTCTGGAATGCTTGTAAGCCACAATCTCTCCAGACTCGCTTAGAGAACAAGACATTATTGACAAAGGACGCCTGTGCTTGCCGGTGATGGGCCTCGAGCCCATCTCGTCTCCCTTAGAACACAGTTGTAAGCGGTTATTGAGGTAGAAGGATATCTTCGTTACAAAACCTCTAATTTACTTTACTCATGAGCGTAGAAACTTATGCAAAACCGTTTTAGCCTCACTGGCGGCTTATGTTGAATAGTTGGCTTTGCCTTTAACCCAAAACCTTGTGAGCACAGTAAACTGATACAGAGTGACCATAAAAACAAATAGCATGCGATCACGAGAGCCTGTGATGTTTTTGCCGTAGTAGCATGACTCAGTATTTTCCCTTTATGCAACAATGCCGGACAGTAGTGACCTGTAACAGGAGAAGCATTGCACAATCACGTGGACACGACCAGAGTGTCCACAAGGCAACTCGAACTGAGGTCTGCAGCGGATGAAAAGAGCCGATCCAACGGGGATGAACGAGAGGACGAATGCATGCTGAGGAGAAGGCAGGAGAGAGAGAGAGGAGACATAACAGCAGATTCCTGAGGGCTCTGTCGCCAGCGGCAAACACGCTTTCGATTAGGATATGCGCACATAACGTTACGTGTGCCTTGTGTGCATTCCGCGGCCAGATTGCAGAGAGCCGTCGTCCGGTAACCTTGTCGTTTGAGCCGACGGGAATACACACGAAACCATGACGAAAGGCTCGCAGCTGCACATATGTCCCCACGACAGATAAAAGACAACTAAAGTGACATGCAAGTCATTCACGTACTGCTTTGCTAAACGCGGTAAGCGTGCAATAAACACGAGCGCACCAGCCTGTGCCACGATTCAGTGACAAACACACGAGCGTGCAAAATCGTGCGCGGCGATCGCCGTTGACAATAAAACAGCGGAGCGACATGCTAAGCTAATGCCAGCGAAGTTTTTCCCCCTTCGCTGTGTTATTGTGAAATGCATGGCGTTGCACGCTCAGATAATCGACAACACGCTTTCAAGTGGACCGCAGAAGCCGTCGCTGCAGAACGTAACGTTACGTGTCTGCAGCGCGCTCGGTTTCTGCCGGTGAACTTTCTGCGGGCGAACAATAAAGTGACAAGCACAACAGCTAAAGTAGCCGCTAGGTGTTAGCTAGCATGTCAACATGTTGCTCAGTTAGCGGGCGGATAATTGTGTCGTTGGGTTACCTTAACAATTGGGGAGCATTTTTTTTTCCTTCCCATCCTGTCAACTGAAAATCTGACCAGACGATGATATCTGCAACGGAGTACGGCTAAAAAAAAATGTTGCTCGAAAAAAAAGTTTGCAACTCCAGTGTTGCAGTAACTGCACGCGGATGACTATTTGACAGGAAGTGGATTTCTAAGAGCCCGCCGTTCTATTGCGTTCAGCTCTCTATTTGGCAAGTGCGAGGTCCTGATGGTGTAGCGTCTGTTCGACAAAATTCGCATACCTGCTGGTCTTGTTCCGATCCGGAGGCTCCATAGCAAAGCAGCGGCGTCTTGTTCCCGGCCGTGCATGGACTAAACCATGTCTAAACAATATCAGACCGACTTTGCACCGTTAAACGTTTGCAAAAGAGGCAGGTTTTTGTCTCTTTGGAGCACTTTCTATCCGCCGGCACAGTTGACTCTTGCTTGTGCGTATGCCGTCGCCATCTTTCCAACATTCATTGAGGAGGAGTGCTTCGGTATTGCATTACTACGGCTACCCGGATAGGTCATGTACGGTCACTAGCAGTGAAGAGCCCCAAAGTAAACTCGCAATGGATCTATTATCATATAATCATCTCTTCAACGATATGATATATTATCTTTCTGTAGATCAAATATTGTAACAGAAACCGATGGGGATATTTTAATAACTTTATTATTATTATTACTTTATTATTATTGTTATTATTATTGTTATTATTATTATTATATAGTTGTCAATCAGAGAATAAAATTAACTACTTTCTTATGGACTTTAACCATCGATACTGTGCTTTCAGTAGCACTACAATTCTGGTACAAGTTAGACATGAGGGTCCATTATCATGTTCAACAGAACCCTGAGTATGGAGGGTTTAATGTAATGTATTGTAGTGAGCTGCTAGACCACAAACCTCCCTGTTTCTAACTACATGCAGTATTTCTTCCTGTTCACCAGCACATGCATTTCAGGTTCTGGGGGCCCCTTGTGGTCTGATAGTTGCACGTTCCGTGTTTATGTTAGATTATAGAAATGTGGACATTTATAAGTTGAACAATTCATGTGAATTTGTTCACATATGAACAAACATTTGTTCACATAGTGACATGTAGTGCATGTTAGCTTATATTGTAAGGGGAACAATTATAAAAGAATGTAATACCGGTGTAATTTAGGAATCCTAAATTCATAATTGAATAATAATTTTGAGTTATCATGTTGCATCTAACCCCACGTATACCTGTTTCAATCAAATAGATGAGGCTCTTGACACTTTTTTCAAAAAGGCTGATTTGGGGTTTCCACTCAACCTGACACAAAAACACAAGGACTAAACATTTCCATCAACATTTGCTTCTGTGTATCTACACATTGTATAGCAAAAAATATTTATAGTGTATATTATTTATTTTTATTATTATAAGTGCTCCACTGTAGTCTGTTGTGTGGTGAAGAGGATGGTCCAGGTTATCCAATATGGATCATTTCTTTACACCACCTTTTCCGGACTGCGCAGTTTGAAGATTATGTTGAACCGGTTTGTTAAGTGTGCTGGTGTCTCTAGCTCCGATGCTGTTCACCCAGCCGACTGGAGTAATACAGGGTAGTGGCCTCAACAGACTGGTATAAAACTGTATTTCTTTTAATGCAGTAACACAAGCATTTTTATGTTTTACCAAAGAATAGTTTGTATTCTTGTATGAGTTCAAATGTAATTATACGAGTTATAATAACCCTTCAATCTTGAGTTGGTGTTGTGACTTTGCTACCCTGTGAAGACTAAAACACACTTAGAGAAAATAACAATAAAATCAACCCTTTATTTTCTAAAAACACTGTCAGTTATACTCAAAACATTATACATCTATATATTATTTCTCCTATTATTAGCCCTCTGAACCCACTAACGTTTCATGGAGGAAACATTACACCCCCTCACATCGTACCCTTCACATCACATCAAAGTTGTATGCTCTCTTGCAAACAAAATAAATCAATGAACAAGTCTTCATAAGTATAAACTGAAATATAAAGTATCATGCGCTTCTAAAAGTACTTTAATAACAAATATGTAGATTACACTACATGGCAATAATGCCATTAACATAGATTTGGGTGGCCCTCACTTTAAAGTACTTTGTGTAATCAATAAAGTACAAATACCTCAACATGTACGTAACCTATGTAGGCCAAGGGGCATAATAAGCGGGTAGAAATCAGACAAATTCAGTCTTTTTGGCAGACTTTAAGCAGTTTAACATCGGCGACCACGTAAGAATTATTGTTGTTGTTGTTGTTGAAGTGTGATGGCCTCTGTGTGGTTCATTCAGGCCACTCGGTGGGAGTGATACCTCTATATGGTAGTAACATCTTCCTTAGTTGATGGCAGATCTGGGGCACCTGGGAGTGGCGAGCCAAGGGTGATAAAGCCCACCTGATCGGACTACAAGGCTGGCTCTTCCCCGCAATGCATACCCTGCTTGTTTTATTTAAGTGATCTGTTACAAACTATGTGTTTAGTTGATTCCTTAGTAAAATAAATCACTTTTGACACGTTAGGCTGCCTCGTTCCCTCGTTCGTCATGGCCCTTTGAGCCAGGTTGTGACAAAGGTTATTGAAAATTACGTTAATTACATGTCATTTAGCTGACGCTTTTATCCAAAGCGACTTACAATAAGTGCATTCAACTATAGGGATACAAACTCAGAAGAGCAAGAAACAAAAAAGTGCAATTTCCTCAAATAAGCCAATTTACATTTTGCTATAGATAAGTGGCGTTATAAGTACAATTTAAGTGCTACAATTTGTTAGTCTTTTAGTTGAGGTAGAGTCTGAAGTGTGCCTTTAGTTTAGTTTGCCCTCTGTGGTCCTGGTGTCATCAAAATAATAATAATAATAAAATAAAATAAATATGCTGACCTCTAAGTAAAAACCCCACCATTGTCCATGTGACAAAAGGCACACAACTAAGCTGACTTGTATGCATTCTTACCTCTCTTTTAAAAGCTTATTTCAAGAAAAGTCTAGTTCTGCATGAAGCCAAACATGTCCCTCCACACCCCGGTCGACATGCCACGCATACCTGGGCGTGTCACCTTCACGCTTTCTTCTCACTACCTTTGTTTTCGAGACGGTAGGTGAGGAGACGTCGGCAGCTTTTGCGACGGCTATGAATTGAAACCGAAAGACGTCACTGGCCGAGCCTGCCCCGTTGGCCCGGGAGGAGAGAAGCGGACAAGCTTACGTCACACGGCCTGTGTCGGCGCCACATCACTTGCTGCCTTCAGGTGCTGTTTGAAGGTCGGAAACACGACCGCTACAGTTTGAAGCTTTTCGCGTTGTGTTTATAAGTATTTATACAATATAATGTAATACGTTTCATAGTTTCATCTTTTAGAAAATCAGGCTCAAACGTTTTTTTCCAGCTGAGATATTAGTGGAGAGAAAAGCTAAAAAGCTTTATACATTTAAAATAGTGTGTCTACCCATGACGTCCCAAAATGCCCAAAACCACGCAAGCCTATCACACATAGGGGACATCAATATGTTATAGTTCCGATAATTTAGATATGTCCGACTGCACCTGAAAGCCTCAAGTGCCAGAGCAGGTTTCGCGGAGGGGGAAGTGATCTCATTGAGCTTTGTCTGTAACAACATCCATCTCGTTGGGATACATTTGTTTTGCTATTTAAACGCGCGAGGCGATTACATTATTAACATTTAGTTTAGAATACGTTGAATTTGACTTTGAACAAACCCGCAGCGAAACACCACCGCGGCCGATGCGACAATGCTTCCGTCTCTAGCCGGCAATTCGTGCGTGCGGATGATACAGAATCACAAATCGACGTGGTATTTCGCGTCCCTCGTCCTGGGCTACGTCCTCTATCTGGTGTTCGGCGCCGTGGTCTTTTCCTCGGTGGAGCTGCCGTACGAGGACATCCTGCGCCAGGAGCTGAGGGCCATCAAGAAGCAGTTCCTGCAGGAGAACGAGTGCCTGTCGGAGGAGCGCCTGGAGCGCTTCCTGAAGAAAGCCCTGGACGCGAGCAATTACGGCGTCTCCATCCTCAACAACGCCTCGGCCAACTGGAACTGGGACTTCACGTCCGCCCTGTTTTTCGCCAGCACCGTGCTGTCCACCACAGGTGAGCGTCCGTGCACCGGCCCGGTGCGTGATGCTGCCGCCGATCGGGCGCTTTCTCAGCTCCGCGGAATGAAAACGGGTCATTAAAAGAATGTGATGTAGTTGTTGTTGTTCTGTGTATTTACACGTGAGCCATGCGTTTTTAATCTTGCATGTATGCACGACAAACGCCGCCTCGGTGGGACATCAGCATCATCGTCTTGATAAACAGCCCTCCTGCAGAATGCAACGCACAGAAGAAGGCCCGTAACGAGGAACGGCACATAAACATGAGGCAGCGTGCCGTCCATGTTCTTTCCACGGGCAATAATAACATTATTTAAGAAAAGTGTTTCTTCCTGAGGCATTTGTCTCAGTTATCTCAGAAGTTTTCAAAATGGATCGAGCTGATATCGTGAAGGCTTCAGCAGTTTCTGCCTGGCTGCATGAAAGCTTTCTCCGTCAAGTCAAAATGCCTTGGAGGTTACTGACATGTAGGGATCATATGGAAGGTCTCACTCTTTCTGTCTTATTCTCAAACCTGCATTTATCAATCACACCGGTATTTCCAAATTGATTTCTATCCTCGTTTTGTCACCATCATGTATCAAATATCTGCTGTTGATGGTTGGGGGATACTTTCTATCACCTTCTTGTTACTCAGAAGTTCAAACAGAAAGACTAGAGAGAAAGGGGAAGTGAACCTCTGTGGAAACAGAAGCAGTTCCATTATATTTGAAGAATACAAAGAGAAGCTTTAAGTTCATCGTCCACCTGCCATTAAATACTCCAATTAAGTCCGTAACTCTTTCTACCGTCTCTTCCTCTGTTAGTTACTCTGCCGGTTATTTTATTTGTCAGTAAAAAACACTTTAGGAGATCATGTATGCTCAGGAACCGGCTCTGTATGAAAGTTGGGTTTGTCCTGTTTGTTCCACCCCCCCCAGGATATGGTCACACTGCGCCACTCTCTGACGGCGGGAAGGCCTTCTGCATCCTCTACTCCGTGATCGGCATCCCCTTCACCCTCCTCTTCCTAACGGCCGTGGTGCAAAGGATCATGGTGTTCAGCACGCGGCGGCCGGTCATGTACATCCACAGGCGCTGGGGTCTGTCCAAGCCAGTCGTGGCCATCGTTCATGCCGCTGTGCTCGCCGCGCTGGCCGTCTCCTGCTTCTTTCTCATCCCCGCTGCCATCTTCTCAGCGCTGGAGGAGAACTGGAACTTCCTGGAGTCCTTCTACTTCTGCTTCATTTCCCTCAGCACCATCGGCCTGGGCGACTACGTGCCCGGAGAGGCCACCAACCAGAAGTTCAGGGAGCTTTACAAAGTGGGCATCACCGGTGAGAGTCTTCCTTTTTTTCGTGGCAAAGTGGGGGCTGAAACAGGTTCCTTCATCCTCATTAAGGCGGTTTGTAACGATGGGATGTGGAACATTTTAAACCAAATATCCTTTAAAAGTGATGTGTGCTCTGAGCAAATAAATATATATATATATTACTGATCAGGCGACCGGCACACCGCTGTTACCTTGTTAGTGTCCGTGTGTCAGGATCTCTCATTGGCTCAAATGCTTCCGGTTGAAAAGTGGGTATGACTGCTTGATTTGTTTACTGGTAGCAGTCCAGGAAACACACTCGTAAAAAATAATGACACGATTAACTGATATGAGAATATGTCACACGCAGCATGTTATACGATGGGGAACTTTGTTCTAACAGGGTGTGACACAACCAGCTGGGTCAATTTCTTAACCTCTATGAATACGTGTTGTTCAAACAAAAGTAAAAATGGGTGCAATGCAAAATCAACACACTGCTTAAAAAATCCGGATGCACAAGTTCCAGTTTCAGATCCGGCTTGTTCTATAGTGGCTGTATATTTTATATCTATATATAGATAAAGTGACAATTGTATAGGTTTAATTTTAGAACAATGTTAACAAGCTTCTATTACAAAACAAACTAATTGAAATCGAACAGTTTGTATGTAATTATGGTTAATGAATAGCCTGTCCCACCCACACCGAGCGTAACGGCTATTACTACAGTAAGCATATAGTCTGCAAGAGAACTTGTCACTGCAAAACAAAAAAAATGCTTTGCACGTTCACTTACAATAACTATGGTTTTTTTCACACTATTCCGCTGTATTTTTTAACTTGTATACTGCTGATGAAGCTCATTGCTGACATTTGAATAGCTTTTTCCATTTCGCTTTAAACCATCACTCGGGCACCACAGCAGTGTGGAGGATAAAATGAGCCATGGCCCACAGGAGATCAGCAAGGCATTGATTGCATCTTTCTGGTTGATTGGGCAACTTCCTACAGGCCTGCAGGCCCTGTGACGGCTCCTAGTGACAAGAATTAGAAGAAATCCAATCTGAACCCAAGCACGCTTGACGAGCTGTGGGGGGGCACATGTTGAACGTGTGTGTGTGTGTGTGTGTGTGTTATGCACCAGACAAAGACAGTCTGTAGGAGGAGGGAAGGCTATGAGAGAAAGCATTTATTGGTTCAAATAACAACACAGGTCCCACGTGAAGTGGAGTGAAGTACTTGTCAGTATCCTGAGTGACGTTTGTCTTTCAAAACAGATTTGCACAAATGATAAAGACAACTCGTGTCATCTGCCGAATTGTTCCATTTTTGTTTGTCTGGATTTAGTCGGTGCCTTGTGTGATTAGCAGTTGGTTTTTTGCATTATTTTTTTGTACATAAAGTAAGTTTTGGCTTCTTAACGAAATCCAAACAAATGCAATATCAAAAGTATTTAAAAATGTTAGTGATTCAGGCCTGTTAATATACCACGTAGCGCTGTAGCGCTGTAGCACCACTATTTATATAGTATAAGTGACAGTCCTTATGCAGTAGTTGTTACAAACCGGTCTACACTCGCCACCGGATGCTCGGGAGTTTCAGGGGAATTTTTCACGTTTGTTACATTGAAAGATAATTTGCTAGTGAAATCCAGGAGGTGAAAGATTAGCCAACAGTGTTTTTAGAGCATTGTCTTAAACCATTTCTCTTCCCATCTCAGCGTTTCCACAGAGCTCACACTGTTCTTATCAGGCAGAAACAGCGCCCTCTTGTGTCAGTGCTCACAAACAACGGTTTCTCAATCCATTACTTTTCGATTGGAGGACTTCCAGGAATCCTCGAATATTTTTGTCTGTATAAATCCAACAGCAGCTGTTTTTGAGTGTTGTTTTTGATATGAGGAGAATTTAATCACACCACTCACACCTCCTCTCAACCCTTTCTCTGCCTTCTGTGCTCGTCTCCCCAGTCTACCTGATCCTGGGTCTGATAGTCATGCTGGTGGTGCTGGAGACCTTCTGCGAGCTGCAGCAGCTGAAGCAGCTGAGGAAGATGTTCTACCTGAAGAAGGAGAAGCCGCAGGACCGCCTGGCCATTTTGGAACACGACCACTTGTCCTTCACTACTGTGTCCAACCGAGCCACGGTTTACTCTGACGGCAAAATCCAGTCGTTTGTCGGTGTCCCAACTCAACTGTCCTCTCTCAGTGATGATCCCATGATCCAGTAAACATCTGTTTGAGGGATGACGATGTGAAAGTAATGCACACACAGAATAAAAGCAGACAGAAGGCGTAGATCACGAGTCACAGCCGTAGGCATTCTGTAAACTTTAGTTGTATAACTAGTCGGGGCTGTGCAGCGCTGGCAAATAAACACCACCATCACACCAAAATACTGACACAATAGTTTAACAGTCATTATAAGGACATACTAGGTGATTCAAGAAAAGCCGCCTGCTGTATTTATGACTCACGTGAAACAAACTCCTTATTTGTTGCATATTTAGGGAAATATTAAAAGAGTAATTGCCCTCTTCAATCTTGCTGAAATATGGGACAAATCAGTCGGTCACAGAATACAACATAAACACGTATGTGTCTTGTAAATAGAGATGCTTGTTAGCCACATTGAATTGAGCGGTACAGTTATAGCTCCACCCAGAATAAACACTCCTTTTTAAAGGTGAGCCAGTGTAGCCAAGACATGAGAACAAGGCATGTAAATACTGGATTTCAGACATCTTTATGCCTCTTCGCTGTAAGTATTGTATTATTCACGCTATTCTTGTGAGTGTGACACATCCGCAAGAGTTTCAGCAGAACCGTCCACTCGCACTCCAGCCGGGCCGACTCACTGGTTGGTCAAAGGTTGCTGTGACTTTACAAAGCACGTTTTTGGCCGTAGCATATAATGTATAAATATTTGAATTATGACTAATTGGTCTTAACAGGACAAAATCATGAAGTAAGGACGTGATGTAAGACCGCGAGTCAGACATTCTAGTGTTACGTGGAACTTTGGCGCTTGCGATCAACCCTGAACATGAGCATCTGAAAGAAGAGACCGTGTATATTGTATGAACTACAAATAGTCTGAACTCTGAATAACCGATTTGACTTTGATGTTAAAGTACCAGACAAGGAGAAACGCAATTCGATGTTTTGTAGCACTTCCGGCTCATCCTATCGCGGGTGTTTACTATTCTTTTTAGACTTCATGGTATTAGACATTTCGCTGTGAGGAATAATATCTGTCTGCAAGTATGTATTTTCTCAAGATGATGCAGTCCTCTTTCAAAATCTTCTGTGAGAAGATCAGCACTATAATTTATTGATTTGTCTGAATGGCTTCGTGTGCTTCTGTTTTGAAAAGCGATATTAAATAGGGAAGCACAGATTGCAGGCCGGCCCGTTGCATTTTACCATCAAGATAGAGCGCTGCGTTTGCACATGTACTGGAGAACTGTTTGGGATTTGTCATAGAGAGAATGGACATTACTATTACTATTTTATCGGTAAAAAAACCAATGATAGAAATAATCAAACATGAATGGTACTTTAGGTGTGGATGATCGGTAACTGCTCTAAGCTAGAAACGAGCAAGCTGTCGGCTTAAAGCCGATTGTATTTATATCATTTGAATGTAGAAATGTATATATAGTAAGTTTTTAAGTGATGAAAGTAACTCTTTGCTTGAAACGCGACAGGAGTCCAGCTAAAACATCTGTTCTGTCACTTCTTCCATCAGCTTGTAATCTGCTCATCAACCAAGGATGGAAATGTCTATGATTGGGATTTAAATCAGTGGATGGTGTAAAACACAATATTACAATTTTAAAGGAAATTGACATTGCACTCCTGTTTGTACCTGTAGGAAGAATTATGTGACAGATAATTTAATGACATTATTATATTCTGACCATTAACATTCTGTTTGGTGTACGGTGTTGCTCCATACTCCTTCAATGCAGACTTGATTGTCATATATATTCCTTAGCACATTTAATAGTAAGACGAGGAATCCTTATGCATTTTAAGTGTGTTTCTGAAGTTCTGACCTCATCTTTCTCTGCTACATCGCGGCACGCTCCCGGCCTTTTGTAAAGTCTCGAATGTAATGTTTTATATGCCGTTTGTTACAGTGAGATTCAAAGCCTGACGAGAGAGCAGCGTTACTCCCTCAGCTGCTCTGCTGGCTGTGTTTAGTGTAGTGATTATATGAATCGGCGGGCTGTGGCTCAGTGTCATGACTGCTCGCAGAATTAGCTTTGAGCTTGTCATCATCTTAAGTACTCACTGATCTTCAATTTAGTATTTTATAGTTTTTTTTTTTCCACCGATCTGGGCCTTTGTGTAACCTGTGACGCATTGAAACTGTTCTTATTGCTGAGAAGAAAAAAAACTTGAATTTAGCTAAAGTGTTTTTTGTTTTGTTTTGTTTTTGCTGTACGGTGTCTCACTGTTTAGTAGATTCATTAAATCGATTGATGTCACGGCTTCTACACTTCAGCATTGCTGCTTTTGGTGGAGTCTGTCGGTCATGTGCAGTTTGGCTTGAGGGGCTGACAGGTGAAACGACGTGTCACGGATTCCATTATGACATCATTTATTTATGCTATCAAAAGTAAAGCGTTTGTCAAATTTGGGATCACAACTTACTGTACACATGTGTTCGGTTGCTGTACAGCCAGGAGCGCCAGTGAGTATTGTAGGAAGCTCATGAAGTACTACGTTTTTTGTAATATTCATCGTAGCATAAGAAGTGAATACATGAACTGTAAAATATCAGCGACTCAAATAAAGTGTTGGTTAAATCTGACTTTTTGCTTTACTGTGTATTATTCAGAGCTACCACTGTATAACATCTTATTTACCTTAGAAGTGATTCATTAAGGAGAAGAGTCGTAGACGATCACTAAGCTTTTCAGCACGCAAAACCACCTCCGGTAGAATGGATAGAAGAGCAGAACAAATCTGATTAGTCTGATTATTTGATTTGTGCACCACAAATAGTCCACATTAATCAGGCGAGCCCCAGCAGTAGAATATTTGAGAAGTAAAATTTAAACCAGGGACAGTATAAAACGGTCAGTGGTCAATATAGAACACAAATAATGCACTCTGCACAGCCCTGCGTCATTTACGATACATGCAAAAGAATATCATAATACATTGTTGTTTGTAAAGGTTCATGAAATATGAAAAAGTACTAATTAAAACCATGCAAAAACAGAAATAGCCACACATTTACAAAGAGTGTCTACACACTTAATCTGCTGCTGCTCTTACTTTCCATGTCGAGAATCTGCTCCCTGCTGAATGTGAATGAATGGATTATGTGTTCTGCAGGTCTTTACCTTTCTACGTAAAAAAAAGTTCCCTATAAGAGAAGAGAGCACCTTTTTGCTGAAAATTAAACATAGTGCATGCAAAAATAAGGTTTTTACTTTTATGACTTTGGCACTTGGCCATGAAGCACACCTAGACTTAAGGACATCACATCATGTATAGTGCCCCAACCTTTTTTTTCTCCTTTATTGGCCTTCAATTACACACACACACACACACACACACACACACACACACACACACACACACACACACACACATACACGTACATACAGCACAACTGTCAGTTGATGCAGACAGGTTGTCAGTCAGGAGTGTATCAGGGCAGAACACGACCAACCCCTGAAGACCCATTTCTACACACCAACAAACTGAAATGTATTTGTACCCACAGATCCTGATCATTAATATTTCTATTTGATCTTTGAGAATCATTCATATGCAACAAGGAAACTAGCCGAGCCAAAGCTGTGAATATGAAGAGTTCAGCCTCACGTTTAAATCCTGCGACTGGAATTGTTCATGTTTTTCCAGGCTGAAAGTGATAAATACATCATTACACTCACTCTGAAGTGATTCTTAAAGGGGTCCCGATGTGCCTTTAGCCAAATAAGCTTACATTTGAGGCATGTGTTTCAGCACAATGTTCTTTTTTCTCATCAAACACCCACTTCAGCAAAGCCCAAAACTATCACAAACTACAGAAAAATGTGTGAAACTGCCTGACATTTCCTCTGTAAAGTTTCAACAACAAGTCCATTGATGCAGGAATGCTCCTCCTGTGCTCCGTGGTCCAGAGACTCAGAGGTCACACCGGACAGAGGCCCGACTGGCATCTAACCTAAAGCACCACTTTCTGGTGGTGGAGCAACTCTATTTATATCCCGACACACAAACTGGGACTACGGGAACGCAGGAGGCCTCAGGCACAAACATTCCCCTCCGCCAACTATGTGAGCGCTCTCCCTCACTGCTGCAAACCCGACGCTTTCCTTTTGCTGCACTGAAAGGAGAGCTGATTACATGTGATGTGATTATATGGTTGGTTTTTTGCTAGTGTGCCCAAGAAATAACCCAAATGAGACATGGAAATACACATTTTAGGCTGCGGTTGTGCACAACATTTCCTTGGCATTAAAAGCATGTGCATACATGTGCATGCATTCGCCAGCAGAGACTCAGCGGGACGCAAACGCTGCCCCAGTTATCGCCGTCTTGAATGTATACGAGTGGAGACAAACTGACAGGACCAGAAGACGGCAGGAGAGGATCGAAGGAGGGGAGAATTGACGCTGCAGGCCTTCTCTCTTTTTCTGCGGTGAAACCTCCATCTCTGCAACGTGTGATGTTTAAAGAACATCATGACTCACTGTGGGCACCCTTTGTGTTTCATACGAAGACGGCACAGGCACATTTATCATTTGCAATAAACATGAATGAGTGAAAAGGGTAACGGGAGATGTTCTCGGGTGTTCTGACGTCTGACAAAAGCCATCGCAGGTCGAAGCATCGTCAGTATAACATATAAGATGACATAAATAATTCTTGGAAATGAAGCAGCAACATGCATGATTTTTTTCTATATTGTATACTTGAGAATCCCACAAGTCATTTCAGATTGGAAGATTTATATGAAAATGCTGCAAGAATGTCCCTTAATGTAAAAATGCAAATAGCCGTGTTCCTTTGACCAATCCAATTACAATCAAATCTTAAGTGCATGGAAAAACGACACTGACGAATGGCACGTGAGTTAACTAACGGCATCGGAGTGCTTTCCCAATAACCTCAAAATAGCCTGATTTGCAAAGTCTTGTCCTTGTCAAATCTTCACACCCCAAAATAATTGGTCATGAATATTCAGAAGAAGCAATCACTGGTTTCACGTGTTGAATTTCAGACAAATCTCGGGATTTAGAGAACCGTGGTGCCGACTTTTCTCCTCGCCAACATTGTATGACCAATTACTCCAAATCCCTTTGTCAAAATAGGATGCTAGGAAAGGAGTGGTAAACTTTGACTAAGAAGCAGAAGGATTTTTATGTAAAGAAACATGGACAGATTCTCCTTCCAATAAGGAATAATGCTTCAATTACGTCAAAGGAAAAGAAACCTACTTCTGATTTGCAATTTAATGACATGGTTTATTCGTTGACATGGCTGTGGATGTCTTACAGTCAAAAGTAATGTGTTTCAATCGGAGGGGACCCGAGTTTAATGATTAAATATAATTGATGTCTAAGAGCTGAGCTGACTTTATCATCTATGTGTTAAAACATTTTCTATCTATTGCAAAGCTGTAAAGCCCCAATAAAGTGGTATTTTCCTCCTCAGAGAGGTGTCTTTCAATAGCATCGAATCAAAGAAGTGACTAGTCGGGGACACCTCTATGACTGTCCTCATATATTTTTATCATTTGTCAGCAAAAATGAAATTGGACCATCAAAAATTGGAAATCAGACCAGAAAGGGGCCTGTTTTTCTCCCTATGGAGCCGTTTGCCTCGGCCGCTAAGCGGTTCCCGATGCGGACACATGATCGCGTCAGCGGGTCCTCTGACTCCGCTCATCCACAGAGCTTGTGGCTTCCCTCCAGCTGTGTGTCAACCTTACCAATAATGGCAGCTGAATAACAAGCATACCCTAAAGAAAGCACAGAGGCCCCTGGGACTGCAGGGTGCCGACTCCGTAAAGGTTACGTCTCCTTCTGGCTGAAATAACGTTTGTTGCATCCCTGTGGATTATAACCAAACATAGTTCCTCATGTCGGCAAATGAAAATACAAAAGTTGCTAATTAAATGCTGAGCAATGAGTATAGAATGCTTCCCAAACTATATACACAGTATTCACATGAATGTGACCTTGTTTTACTTATGCTTAGGGTTTCAATTCCCTCCCTGCGTTGGCCAATCAGCAGAGGCCTGATCCACTGTTTCCAGGCTGAGGGCCGCATTAAATATTGATAAGAAAGGATTTACATCATACTTATTTAAATCGTACAAAACTCGTAAGACCCTGAAGGGTGAGAGCAATAATTTGAAATAAAGTTAATAAAACACAGGCTTTTTTTCTGCCTAAGTTTAAGTGTTTTTAAGGAATACAGGAAAGCTAAAGGGAAGGTTACGTCGAAGTGTAATCCTGCTCTTTCACCCATTTTACCACGGTAGAAACATATGATATGACACATATGCTGAGGAGAAAAGAATAGAAACATTCTTCGTATTATGTTTTTCCACACATGATTTCACAGCCTTGGAGCTCCCCTGAGAAATGGGCCTCAGGAAAAAAAAGCCATTTCCACAGAAGACATTTTGTACGGTGGGTCGTGAATAACAAAATGAATAATATCAGAATTCCATTTAGCCGCCTCATTGTGCTTGCTCGCTCACCGCGACGCTTTCATCACTCAGCGAGACGCTTGTTCACAGCAGAGCCTGCGTTCTGTATCTTACCATCAAGATGGGATTACTTTTCCAATTATAAAGTTACTCAATTCATACATGTGGAACAAATAATTTCATCTCATTGTAGTTTACTTGTCATGGGCCTTTGTTATATGAAAGTGATTAATACCAAAACACGTTGGTAAAGCCTGTGAGCCAGCAGCCACAACACCACAGACCTCACAACGCTGTGACTAATTACACTGCGTTTGACGGGTCTGCCGTGAGAAACGTCTGAAGTTCTGTTTCAGCATTGTTGACGTGTAACAGCATCGGCGTAACGTTAATAATAGCTGCATTCTAATAAGGTGATTCTATTCTCAAAAAACACGTTGTGCCTGCTGACTGATCGGGACACACGACGCAACTGAGTCGCTCTAAACTCTACAACGTTTGCTTCGAAAAATAACCCTTGGACCTCTATTCCTTTCACCAGTTTGTGGCGTTTCAGACTGTTCATTTTATGTTTCTGGGTCTCTTGCCGTAACCTTCCCCTTATCTCTGACACACATTTGGAACGGAGAGCAGCCCTGTAGATAACGACGGCTGAAGCGAAGGAAGCGAAGGACGGCTGTGCAGCCCGGCAGTGGAAGACTTAAACATTCCTTTGATATCGATTCTTTTGTTATTCATAGTCTGTGTCTCACATGGGAAAGTGTCCGCATTATTCAGTTTGGGTGAAGCCAAAAGTGGAACAGGGAGAATTGATTTGACTTTGGCTGAGCAGTCAAATTGAGAGGTGCATTATGCAAAATGAACCTGATCCTCTCTCCCCTGAGGCTGCCGATACGAGTTATTGACCCAGCTATTGATGACTAAACTCTATCACACCTGAACCTACACAAACACACACAAACACACTGCGTGGACGATAAAGCTGTGGGTGTACAATCACTTTTGCTGCTCTTTGCAGTCAGGAGGTCGTGTGTTGACGCAGTGCAGCAGTGGAATCCAGACCCGGGAGCTTTGGGAAACACTACACCAACTTTGTATTGTCTCTTCCTCATTGTTTTAACAACATGTAGGCTCATCTGGGGGCAGAGGTTCATCTTATACGCATTGATTCATCAAAAAACCTGCTGCTACTATTGCACAGTTCACAATTCTCAACACAAAGACAGTTATTGGAAATGTATTTTCCGGGTAGATGTTACCAGCGAAGAAAATGAACCCATTACCGGAAGCGTGGCTTTGATTGGATGTAAGTAACTGAGGATCTGAGGATTCGATAGAAACAACATTTCTACTGTATCAATCCTACCTCTGTGCAGCCAGACTTTAATTTTTTAATTCGACTGACCTTAAATAACAGACCAAAGAGGAACCCAGTGGGCTGTGAGTCGTCTAAAAAGTCGGTGTGGAACGGCGTTGATATGTTGTACACTTTTATCCGTGATGTTCCTCACAACAAGGAGAATCCTTTCTCGGAAATGTGACAACAACAAAAGAATTACTAGAAGTGTCTGTCTTTCCCAAAAAATAATATGACAAATTATGGAAGCAAAATAAAACACTATAAAAGAGCTCTGTTGTTTGACAGATGCTGATATTATCAAGATAAGATCTCACATTTCTCCCTTTTTCATTTGTCTTGTATTTTAAATTATAACTAAAACTACTGTTATGTCTTTGTTCTCTTGAGGCAGAGGACTAGCCGTGCCCATCTGAATGAGACAGATTAAGGAAAAAGAACAAAAGAAATATCTTATTTCATAATGAAATAAATATATTTTCTCTTAATTACGACTTGGTGTGTGCTTTAAGGGTTTGATTCAATCAGCTTTAGATCAGCTTGTGGAGTTTTTTTTGTCAAGTCAGCGAAAGACACCCAATTCTAAAAAACACTGCTGCTAACGTGCACGTTAAAATGCACGTTCATCGCAAACACGCACACACACACACACACACACACACACACACACACACACACACACACACACACACACACACACACACACACACACATAAAACGATGATGATGACGTTGGTCCCTTCGTCCAGTAGATGGCGCTGTTGCGGTGCCTTCAGGACCCAGCAGCCACATCCGGAGCTTCCTCGTGCTGAAACAGTCCGCGCCGTAGTGGCCGGTGCGGGCATATGTGTGTGCGGGAGGGGAGGACGGGAGGGGGGGAGTGAAAAGGAGCAGCGCGATGCTAGTTGTCTCCCGCGGTTGATGTTTCGCAGTAGCTGCCTTGCTCAGTGGCCTTGAGGATGTACGGTGATGGAGAGGGCACCGTGTGGGACCGGGTCGCTCGGCCGCACCGGGACTGCATGTGCTACCTCGGACCTCCTACTTCTTTGATGCCCATGTAAGACCTTCCAACTTAATGGGCAGCGCCGCACCTGTTGCTCACTCGATTACGTATTGATTTAATCGCACAAAGGTGCAGAAATATCAGGTATTGCTTTGGATGGTTTAAATAATGACTGATGTTTATTTCGACATAATGAATAGTTGTTTTAAATATGGTGCAGGCTGTAATCGGGATATGGCAGCACATTTGGGGTGGGGGGGTCTTTACACACCGCTTTAGTCCGAGTGGGTCAGTGGCTTCAGAGCAGGTCAGCACTGTGCTACTTTTTTAATGTATAGCGAGCGAGTTTCATTTGTGCAACATCCATTACCATTTTTGATCTTACTTGCTGCATGCAAAAATACAAACAATGTACAATATAAAGACTATATTTAGAGTACTGTGTAGTCTGTGGGGCTGCGCGCAGTTTTTGCTCCAGTGCCTATACAAGAAGTGCATCTCGACAAAACCCTCTTGGTCGATTCATTGTTTTTTTCCCGATGCCCAGAAGCCTATGTGATGGGAGTTGTAGCTCACTGCTTCGGTTGCAGTCTCTTCCGCTCAGTGTCTTTCACAGAGTTGTAACGAGGACTCGGGGCCAGTGGAGGATGATGATTTACAAGAGAGGAGCTGCAGGGGGCCCACAGCGCCTCCGTGGAGCACAGCAACAACACTTGCTGCGCTGCTTCAACCAATAATAACCTCTCGTCTTATCAATATTACACACCAGTTGTGCAGGCTCCGTTTCCCTCTCGCTTTTGGTCTTGTGACACCGGCCCCCTCTTGTTCCTCTCTTCCCAGCGGGATGCGCAAGTCCCCCGATGTGAGCCCGAGAAGGCTTTCGGACATCAGCCCTCAGCTCAGACAGCTCAAGTACCTGGTAGTGGACGAAGCCATCAAAGAGGACCTCAAGTCCTCGCGCAGCGTGGAGGACATCAACAGCGCGTCCATAGAAGAGCGAATACTGCGAATCACCGGCTATTATGGATATCAGCCTTGGAGTGCCAGCTACAAGAGTGAGTCACTTTGCATGCATATGGAGCTGCTAACGTCTGTGACTCCATAGTGTGGTACACGCTGCATGTAGTAGCTATAAGTAGCCTGTTTATGCACTGTGCGCCCACACAGCGCATTACTCCTCGCCACATCTGACACAGACACTCCGACAACACACGAGTACGGATGACTGGGGTGTAGTAATGCGTGTGCCATGCTCGTTTCCACAGAATATGTTTCGTAGTGGAAGATTTTCTCGTGCAATCGGGAATCAGTTATAAAGTCTCTTGTGAATCAAAGTTGTATTTTCCGTTTATTTCCTGCAAGGAAGAAGAAGACCACAACAGCTGTACATCGACAGGCAGCAGCAAGCTTCTTCTTAATGTTTGAGAGCAACACAGATGTATTTATACTTCGACAGGATTAACACTCTGGTTTTGAGGTCCCAGACCCGAAGGAAGACTCGAGGCGCTCACAACAGATGTTTGATTAGATTTAGGAGTATGGCTGGAGACCTCCACACCTTCTCCTTCCTCCACGCAGACGTGTTATGCAAAGACAAATGGGATCAAAGAGAAGAGGTGCTCTGAGATTCTTCTGCTCGGATGGTTCCCACACAGCTGGTGTCGTGGAACCTCCTCAGAATTAAAGTCATGATTGGCTTGAGACATTCATCTAATAAAACATTATGGTATCATTATATTTTTACCATTACAGTTTGGTCACTGAAGCATCGGTGTAGCTCGCAGTTGCTGCGGAGTTCGGGTTTGTTGAGCTCGGAGACAGACTCTAAGAGTGTGCCTCGAAGCGCTTGATTCTTTGGGAGAAAAAAAGAAAAAGTGGTCAAAGAAGCTTTTATTTCCCCTCTCATTTGCTTTCTCTGCATCATCTCTGCTGCGGATGGATTACAGTCCTGCTTCACTTGCTGCGTGTCTTCATCTATCTTCCTCATTCCGTGGCGGCGTGGGGACGAACCGCCGTCTCAACGGCCATCAAACTGTGTGTGTGTGTCTGTCTTATTACTCTGGGCTGTTTCGGTGGTTGATGAGCGTTAGCTGGTTGACGGTGGAACATTTTGTACATTTCATGTGGGTGTCTGCAATATTAAACAGCTGCAAGGCCACTTTAAAATTCCTATGCCTGTTAATATCATCGGAAAACGGCAGACTTCACGAGACAGCTTCATGGTAATGGAGATGATCTGTGGATTTCATTTCAAAACGCAATGAGGATGTCGTGAAAAGAAACCCATTTAAATAGCCGGCGTTACTTTAGTCATAGTGTAGTCTCTCCCCTGAAACAGCGTTTTGATGAAAGCAGTCGCAGTGCAGTTATAAGACTTCATGATGAGTTGGACTGTTGCCTCGGAGATATTCCTCGCCGTGTGTTCATCGTGGTGCTACAACTCCTCCATTCATTGGTGGTGAAATTATTGGTTATACACAGAGTCGATTTTAATCGTCCAAACCCACATTGTTGTAATTTCATTCTAAACCCCCTACAGTAGTTAGCAGAACACGATTCGCCCGCATCCTCCTGGGGCAATGGCGCTGTCTAAATGCTGAAGATGGGAGGGCGGATGCAGAAGGCAGCCAATTTCAAGAGAGGTGGGAGGCTGAGTACTTCTCGGTGTGGTGCAAATACATGCCTGTTGGTTCCATTAACCGACCTCTCCAAATAGGCACGTGTGCACTTATTTTTACAAGCGGAGTGAAAGAGAAGTGGGGATAGTAGTGTGTTAGCTGTGCGACTTCATGGGTCATCTGAATATGAGACTGCAGGCATCACAAACACGTCATTGATTTATTCAAAACGGAATTGATGTGTGTGATAGGAGTGAATGATACAGCAGGTTTGTCCCTTTCACTTCAGGCCGTGTCAGACTGCTACGTACCTGCAGGGTCTGTTTGAACGTTGTTATAAAGTGTATTTAAGGAGTGAACGTAGTCACCTTGACATCACCCATTGGTTCTCTGGAGCACAGTTTTGCAGCCTTGAGTTTTTGTCCTTTTGTTGATCACCATTTAGTTTTATTGCAAACAAGTTCAGACTTTTTCTTTCTCTAAACGAGACCATCATTTACTAAAGAATAAATATATGCTGTTTTGCGGAGAACTGGCGATTAATACCATAAAATAATGTTCACAATGTTTATTGAGGTAAAGAATCAAGCGCAACGTAGATTCTCTTCACAATCAGACTTTTCTTGCAACAGAAGAAAGAGCCCCTGATAGCATGACAAATAAAGCATGTTAGAAGCATTTCCACAATGAATACGTGTTAACAGTCACTGAAGAAAGGTTACTGGAGAGAGAGGAGATATACATATCTTTCATTTTTAAAAAGTAATTTCTTTTTCTGTCTATTATTTTGTTTCTTTGAACCTATGGAGTTTCGATTTGTAACAAAACAAGCAGCAAGGAACATTTGTCATAAAGTGGTCATATTTCATCTTACTTATGTCCATTTACCATGGAGGATGAACTCTGTGAGAACAGCACGCAACGTGATTAATAAAACATAAATGCATGTCCTTTTTGCAGATGGATTATCATTTTGCCTGAACATAAATTAAATTTGATATCACTGCTGCAGGTTATGTAATTAGCGGTAATTAGCTATTCAACTGCAGGAATAGTTGAATGTAAAGACCTATTTTTGAAATGAGCGTGTCATCACTTTGCAAAAGGATTCCTCTAGGACATAAGTTTTAGCTCATAGCATTCAAAATACTCTTGAATTGAATGTCTTTCGGCATGTTCTTCTTCAGCCTTTTCTAGAATCAGGATTCTTTGCCCGGGATGTTGAGCATTTACGTTGATCAAGTTCCACTTACAAGCGAAACGTTTGTCAGACATACAAACTATTCTTTTCCTAATTCACTCGCACTATGAATAGCAAATGTAGCATCCCCCCTGGTGCTAATTCAAATGTGAGGTTACATCATATTTTTATTTGAGGCTTTGCGGATTGTGAGGTGCAGCAGTGGGGAAGGTTCGACGGAGCCTATTAACACATGTACAGATTCACTGTTGGCAGTAACAGGACAGCTGGAAGGGATGGCCGAGGTCTCTGCTGCGTATGATATTGACACCTTTCACCTCAGCTGGAGTGGAGGAGAAGAAGGAAAGAACACAGCCGGCATGTCCGGTTCAAACTCAATGAGCAAGAGCTCTTTCTGCATTAACACCAGGGTGTAATAATCATTTAGAAAAAAACACATCCGCGTCTCCATCATCAAAGAAAAAGCCTTACGCTTTGATGCAATGAAGAAGTTGGATTGGGATTGAAGGGTACCGCTCGTGCCTTTTCATCATACCGCCACGACCGCCGCTCTCTTTGAAGAATAATCCACAGCCGGGTGTGAAAGGCCACTCAATCACACCCCCAAATACAAATGAGTCCTAGACTAATGATCTTATTTGAAGACATAAAGGCATAGATAAGAAGGCATAATGAAATAATAATACTGGCATTTTCGTTGTTTAACTTCACTGATTCAGTGACTGCAAGAACCTTTTTATGATCCTTCTGCTTTCTGTGTCCATTGTGTATATTTGACTGAAAGTGAAACTTCTCCAAACTTGATCAACTCTGTATCCGATGCGATCAAGCCACGGTACAAGCGTGCACAGAACTGGAACAAGTGTAGGAGCGCATTCTTTCATAGTGTCACTTTCTACTTCCTTTTATTACTTCGTCAACAGCAGAAAAGTAAATAAGAGTCCCCATGAACAGAAAACTTGCTTTATCTCGCGATGCGGTTGGAAATGGTTTGCTGTTCCGCTCTCTAGCCCAGACGCACACCTGGCTGTGCTCAGGTAACGTCTAAATATAGTTACATTACATCATCACAAGCATTTCAGCCATATATCATCAAAAAATCAGTAATTCATTAAGATCAGCTAATCAATGGCTGCAACAACAAGCCATGCAAGCTGATCCTCAGTCAAGGGTGCAGGATCATCTTTGTATGTAAACAGAGTCGCACATACACGCACATTTACACATGTTACACATGTTACACAAAGCAAAACGAAATGGAGACAACAGTAGAGCATTTACATAAACAATTCATTACCTTGCAGAGTTGCATCTCCCCAATGTTCTTCTTTAATAATGCATACAGGAGGCCTCAAGCATCATGATATTGTTAATATTGTATGTAAATGAGTTATGTGAGCATACGGGGGAAGCAGCTGACATACAGTCCTGACCCACTATTATCCTTTAAACAGGGAGTGGTACCAGTCGCTCTGCAGGAGTGTACGAGTACTGAACTTAACTAGCTCTCAGTCTCAGTTAATCCTAAAGGGACTGGAAGTCAGCAATGAAAGGATCAAGCACATCATTAAATGCAGAATTCATTATGACCTCGGCTTTTGGGCTTATCCTGATTTAAAAAAAATAATTTAGTAAATATTTGGTGCCATACCAAGGAAATTGGCCCTGGGATTTAACATAAAAACACACAGCAAATGAGGCTGGAGTGTCTTTGAAACCCCAGCCAGCTGCTCTGTTAGACATGTCTAGAACGACTCCAATCAGTCCTTGAATCATTCCCCACTAGTTTCAAAAAGGCTGTTTTAACATTCCTAGCGTTCTGCCGATCTTGGGCGTTTGTGCCGTCTCCAGTGGTGGAGGAGAAGCAGCTTCTGTTGCGTAACATCCCATCTATAATTGAAGAGGATGCATAGATCATCAGACACCTGCTCCTGAAGTCCTGCTTCTGCCCACTGGACTAGAGGAGCTGCTAAGCAGCTCCACCAATTAGAGCAAGAACGAATGTGTCAGTCTCGCCTCCCTCGGCTGTCAGACAGACGGGTGGAGGTCACCACGGAGCGAGGGGCAGTTGCTGAGGAGCCAACGAGACAATTCATGGGGTTTGAAACATTATTGTTGGAAACATACAGTGTTAGTTCAGAGTTAGATACTTCTTGACACTTTGCTTGATGGAGAGGTAAACATTTAGCATTTAGCATCTGTGATATCTGAAACAAGTGGATAGTGTGCTTGCGTT